GAAAGATGCTGGAGCCAACTTGGTAATTTCATGATACCTTACTGTACTGCATGATGTCTAAGTTCATTCCTTAAGGCTGATCTTTTTCTACCAAAGACAGGGGCTGGGATTGTTTAGGGACCTTTCTGTGCCATGTCACGGACAGTTGTTTTTTTTCTTTCAGATGATGCTAACACCTGGAGCCACAGAAGAGTAACAGGTACAAACACAGAGGGGTCTGCCTCCCCCTCGTGTCATTCCAGTTTGAGTGATGTACCTCTCCCGCAACACAATGGGAAACCCAGGTCCAAGTGCATAGTTGTCTGCTTTCCTTATGAGCACTGTCAAGTCCACCCTTTAAAAAAAAAAAAAAAAGAAGACAACCCAGCACTTTTGTTATTGCCAACAGAGTACAAAATTTCCACAGGTCTCACTTGCCACAACTATGTAGCAGTAAGCTCATCAAATTCAGCTGTTAAACCTGTCCTTCAGAGGGGAAAATTTCAGACACAGCTACAAATGAAGTGTTGCAGGAAAGGATGGAGCAATGGACCACAATTGTTACTGCAGCTAGGAGGCTGTGTGAGAGCAGCTGGAGCTGCTACACAGTGGGTCAAATGCAACCAGCACCTCTATTCCTCGTGTCTCAACTTAAACACTTGAGAGTTTCAAGGGAGAAAAAGCAATTGGCCTTGCTTCAAGCTCCCTCTGTCCTGGGTCAATGAAGAGAGAGGGAAAACATGAGTTTTCCTGGTTAGACTCTGTTCCTCTTTCCTACCTATCTCCCCCTTGATTAATGACAGGCCCCAACATCTCTCATGCAGCTGCACCACGGTGGGGCTGGATGCAGCTATCTGGTTCTAACATAGTGGCTCTCCTAGGTCTTGGGAAGGAAACAAGAAGTCACCCTCTTTAACTGAAGAAGTAGGGAAGCACAACCCCCTACTCTCTGCTTCTGGAGAACTGAAGCAGGAAGGATGTGAAGGAACAAATCAAAGAGCAGAGCAGTTCAGATAACCGACATGACTGAGGAGGTATCAGTCTGCCTATTGAGAGCTCAGGTGCTGCTCAGCCAAAGGTGGCTGGTCAACAGCAGACAGCAGGGAATTGCTCAGGAGGACAAGTCCCATCATGGAAGAAGTGAGGTACCCTGGGATGCACTCCTGTGTTACGGCTTTCAAGTGGCAGCTGCCTGCACCCCAGCTGCATGTTTTCTTCTGCCTCATAGAGGGTCAGAGTTACCACTGAGTACAGAGAGCCAACAACTTAATTTCAAGCATCTCTCCCTAGAACTGCACCCAAATTCAAGAGCATGAATTGAAAAGCAAGTTTAAAAACAGTAAAAATATAAGATTTGCAAATTAACTGAGAAACAAACCCAGCACTGCTCAGAGAGGCTTTTTTCTGCATGACAGAATTTTACCCCCACTTTTTTCAATAAACAAGTAAATTTTTTCTTTTTTCCTTTATTATTGTCCTGGTTTTTCTAGGATAGAGTTAATTTTCTTAGTAGTTAGAAAGTGCTGTGTTTTGGTTTCAGAGTGGGATTTGTTATAAGAAGAATGTTGATAAGGTACAAGGACACTGTGTTTGGGTAGTTTGTGAGTGCAAAGGACTGGGAGGGGGAAAGCGTAGTAGTTAGTAAAACCCAGAATTGATAGTTGGATATGCCAATGAGATATTCCTTATCATATTATGTCATGTTCAGCATATTAACTGGGACTGACTGGAAAGGGGGAGGATTCTCTTGGCAATCACTCAGGCTCACTTTTCTGGGATTGCAATTTCGGTTTCGGGGCTCCTTTTCACTCCTCCGTGATCGCCATCAGTGGGTGGTGAGCAATTGTACTCTGCATCACTTATCTATCCATCTATCTATCTATCTATCTATCTATCTATCTATCTATCAAATTTGTTATCATTAATATTATCACTACTATTTTAATTTTATTTTACTCTAATTATTAAATTGTTCTTATCTCAACCTACAAGTCTCCTTGCCTTTACCCCTCCAATTCTCTCCCCAATTCCCTGTGGGGGGGTGAAGGGGGGAGAAGCTATGAGTGGCTGTGTCTTGTTTGGCTACCAGCTAAGTTCAACTATCACAATTATTATTACTACTCACAAGCTTTATAATGCATGGCTGAGCCATTCTGGGGGCACAGACCCTGAGAAATGGCCAAAACAAATGTAACAGTGATCACCCTTCTATGGTCCAAATCCTTGTTTGGAGCTCCTGTGTGTCAGCCACTCCTCCACCAGCCATGGGAGCAGTTTATGACAGCTTCAAATGAGTCAGAGATTAGATGCTTTCCTTCTATCTATGCCCCCACGCAGGTAGAAGGAAGATTATTCATGTAAAAACCTCTTCATCTATAGGAAATCCTTTGACTCTGTTTAGTCTCAGTCAGAAAGTACATCAGTACACAAGTCCTGTAGTTAGCTTATGCCAAAACTGCAGCGCAGGGCTGTCATTTCCTGATGGGAGATCTATCCTCCCACACTCTAGATACATGTCCCTGACAATTCTGTGTTATGATGACAAACATCTTCCAAGCTGGGCACCTTGCACTCTGGTTTGAGTAACAGGCAGCCCAGAGTGTTGTAGTTGTGCTGCCCCAGGATCCCATCTGATTTTTTACACTAGTGAGCAAGGAACATCTGCTCTGCCCATGTATTTTGGATCAGTTTACTTCCTCTTAACAGCAGGTCTGCTGGTTCACTGGAAGTGAATCCATGCCTTCATCTGTTCCACAGACATTTCTTATTGTAGCAAAGCTGCCACAGTGGTTGAACTGGTTGATGCATAGAACCTACGCAGAGGCATAAGAAGTACTATCCATTCATCCAGCTCCAAAGCAGCAGGAAACAGGATTCATGAAACAGCCTTTGCAAAAGATAAAAACTTTATAACAAGGATGAGAAACCTCCCTAAACATTACAGTAACCATGGCAGTACCTTTAGTTTGAACTCAGAAATTTGCAAGTCCAGTTTAATTGTCCCTGCTGATGGCAGGGGGGTTGGAACTAGATCATCTTTAAGGTCTCTTCCAACCCAAACCATTCTATCGTTCTATCAATTTGGCACCACCATTTGC